TTACAGCCATTGTCTTGAATGTCAGGCTTCACACAGCAACAGTAGCTTCCCAGGCATGGAGCAGACTGCTTGCTCTCCAGCCATTCGTCCCTGGGCACCCTAAGGGGCGGTTCACACTATAGAAACGCAGTCCAGATGCATTCCGGATGCGTTTCCGCATGCACGTTTTTTACTAGTTCTAGTGTGTTTTTGATACATTTTTAGGTAATTTTTCCCTTCTCTTTTTCTCCAGTTTAAGGACATGTGCGTTCATGTGTTTTTGGTGCGTTTTGGTGTGTTCCAGTGCATTCTGGTGCGTTTTTCCGCTTTCCAGTACAGTTCTGTGCAGAAAAAATGCAGCATGTTCTACTTTTTTTCTTCTGCAACTGGAATGCACTGGAACTGCAAGCACTGGTGTGAACTATGACATTGACACCCATATCATCTACCGTATTTTTTCGCTCCGTAATACGCACCTGACCATAAGACGCACCTAGGTTTTAGAGGAGGAAAGCAAAAAAAAAAAATATTCTGAACCAGTGGACTGCAGACATAGTACAAGAGATGACCAGAGACTGCGGACACAGTACAGGAGATGACCATTGTGCAGACATTAGCACAGGAGATGACCAGAGACATAGTACAGGAGATGACCAGAGACTGCAGACATAGTACAGGAGATGACCAGAGACTGCAGACACAGTACAGGAGATGACCAGAGACTGCAGACATAGTACAGGAGATGACCAGAGACTGAGGACATAGTACAGGAGATGACCAGAGACTGAGGACATAGTACAGGAGATGACCAGAGACTGCGGACACAGTACAGGAGATGACCAGAGACTGCGGACATAGTACAGGAGATGACCAGAGACTGAGGACATAGTACAGGAGATGACCAGAGACTGAGGACACAGTACAGGAGATGACCAGAAACTGAGGACATAGTACAGGAGATGACCAGAGACTGCGAACATAGTACAGGAGATGACCAGAGACTGCGAACATAGTACAGGAGATGACCAGAGACTGCGAACATAGTACAGGAGATGACCAGAGACTGCGGACCTTTGGGGAGTGGAAGGGGTGGTCGGGTACCCGAATTTGACAGGTACCCGCTCCCACGTCCGCGGAGTTGTCCTTCCCCCTCCCCTCCTCATAGTCTTTTGGGACACGTGACAGGTCCCAGAAGACTACATGGCCATTCACAAAGCACAGCACTTCTCACACATGCACAGTGGGCACCAGCCATGAAGGTACAAGCTGTCTCAGCCAGGTGCCCACACTAAAGATGCCGGCGCCAGGGAGAGAAGATGGTGACACCGCTGGACCGAGGAACAGGTAGGACCACTGGAGGTCTGCAGGTTCTGCTGCACAGAAGAGCCGCGTGGCCGGCCCGGTATTCTTACAAGGCGGCGGCAACAGGGGGAATACCGGACCAGCTGCTCCATATTCTCTCCATAAGACGCACAAGCATTTCCCCCCATTTTTTGGGGGGGGGGGGGAAACGCGTCTTATGGAGCGAAAAATACAGTACTTTGTGCGCTTTGGATGCAGAAAAAAAGCAACTGAAGCGCACGTAGTGTGAACTGGCCCTAAATGTAAGTACTGCTTGGTGCAGCAGCTCTTAGGCATCATTTACTGTAGATGGGTATAACTATCTGTAAACCCGTGCGAAAGGCTGTCTTTACCCACAAAGGTGTTCTGTGCATCCATATGCAGGCAGTCCCATTCATGTCTATTGCTGCATGGACACAGACGCCGGTCCCAATTTGACAGGTGAGTGCGTGTATCTAAACGCACAACGTTACTAGTACCCAAACCAGCTGCTTTCATTTTAGAAGAACAGAAACTAAACTGCCTTCTTTGTTCTACTTACCTGTCATATGCACAATGCGATTTCCCCACAGTGGTGTCCATGTCATGAGGAATCAGCCAGAGAAAGTCCTCGTAGGTGTGCAGACGTATGCTGTCCCAGTCAGATTCTGTGACGTAACTGCACCCAGCATTGAAATCTCCCAGGAAAATAATATTCTAGAAAACAAAGAGTAAAAATACCACAAATGTTTCCTACAGAGTACAGAGCATATAATAAACCCATGGTCCTTGAATGTGCGGAAATTGATGTGCTTAACTTTTCCTGTGCGTCTAACCTACTGAACAGTACAATATCATTTTTATTGATCTCTATTAGAAAAAAAAATGTTGATGCTGTCTACTCTTTACAATATATTATTGCCCGTTTTTCACAAATTTTGTGACTCCTGTACTGATGGCTATCCAAGATACAGATTACTCTCTATTTCACCTTTTTTGTGAATATATTAGGTAGACTTTGTATAGATTCAGCTTTTCTTAATTTCTATCTTCTTATACTTGGTCCCTTCTTATATTTCATTTTGTCTGCTCTCTCCCCTTTTCTATTCTCTCTGGCAACTCTTGTGCATTATTGTCTATCTCAGGGGTCTCCAAACTTTCTAAACAAAGGGCAAGCCTACTGTCCTTCAAACTTTAGAGGGGCTGGACTGTGGCCAGTGGGAGAAGAAAATGTCCTGGTGTCAGTGAGAGTAAAGAATGCCCCATCATTGGTATCAATGGGAGCAAACAATGCCCCATCATTGGTATCAATGGGAGCAAACAATGCCCCATCATTGGTATCAATGGGAGCAAACAATGCCCCATCATTGGTATCAATGGGAGTAAAGAATGCCCCATCATTGGTATCAATGGGAGTAAACAGAGCTCCATCATTGGTATCAATGGGAGTAAACAATGCCCCATCATTGGTATCAATGGGAGTAAACAATGCCCCATCATTGGTATCAATGGGAGTAAACAATGCCCCATCATTGGTATCAATGGGAGTAAACAATGCCCCATCATTGGTATCAATGGGAGCAAACAATGCCCCATCATTGGTATCAATGGGAGCAAACAATGCCCCATCATTGGTATCAATGGGAGCAAACAATGCCCCATCATTGGTATCAATGGGAGCAAACAATGCCCCATCATTGGTATCAATGGGAGTAAAGAATGCCCCATCATTGGTATCAATGGGAGTAAACAGTGCCCCATCATTGGTATCAATGGGAGTAAACAATGCCCCCTCATTGGTATCAATGGGAGTAAACAATGCCCCATCATTGGTATCAATGGGAGTAAACAATGCACCATCATTGGTATCAATGGGAGTAAACAATGCCCCATCATTGCTATCAATGGAAGTCATAGTGCCCTATTATTAGTATCAATAGTACTCCATCATTGGTGTCAGTGGGAGGAATAGTACCCCATCGATGGTATCAATTGAAGAAATAGTGCGCCATCATTGGTGTCATGGGAAGAATAGTTTCTCATTGTCAGTGGCAGGACCTATGCCACATTTATGCTGAAAGTGGGAGGAATAATGCCCCGAGGGCTGGAGAAAAGCAAGTAAAGGGCCACATCTGGCCCTCGGGCCGCAGTTTGGAGATCACTGGCGTATCTCCCACTACTTATATTGCCACAGGCGATCATTAAAGAACATGTACAGTAAACACAAACATTTCATATTCCTGATATGTTCCTGCTGTACCATGTACTTGTATAAAAAAAATATCCTGTTCTGTTTGTATTGCTTCCTTTGTGTGAAATCCCTGGTGTTCCTGCCAGTCCCTCTGCTTTCCTATTAAAAAACTGACCACACTAGGCATGAAAGCACAGTATGGTCAGTTCTCTTGCTGTGCTGGGAAACCAGTGTGCTTGTCTCCAGTGATAAGATTTCTGCTGACCCCACCCAGCCTCTGCAAAGGCATTCTCTGCGAAGATCGGTATGCTGCTGTTTCTCCTCACCTAGCTCTTATGCAGCTGAGAACAGAGGCTAAGTGATCACTTATAAAAAATGGAAAACATAGTATTCATAATGGTTTTTATATCTATACACATATGTTTTTTAAGTGCATACAGAGTACTGCTTAGAGCAGTTTTGTGGCAGCAAACTGTCCAGGCATTTTACTGCAAGAATTTCCTGTGTGATCTGGAGGTACCAGTTATATTCCTATTGTATGTATCTAGGTCATGGCGGAGAGATTCAGACTGGTGGCTAGTAGCAGCACAATCATCCCCTTGCAGAATACAAACCAGAACACCCATTGTTAACCTTCCTTACAAAGAGCACCAATGTCATTGACTGCTATGGGCAACACCACCATTTACAACAGGGGTCCTCAAACTACGGCCTGCGGGCCACAAATTGCCCGCCAAAGTCATTTAACTGGCCTGATGGGCCGGCCAAAAACAAAAAAACCAGGGGAACAAAAATGGCACCGCACTAGCAAATAGCTAGGCTGCTCTCTAGGTCCTTGCGGCTGAGGACCCAGCGAGCTACCTAGCTATTTGCTGGCGCGGTGCCATTTTTTTTTCCCTGATGTTTTTGTTTCTGGCTGGCCTGGCGGGCTGGGTAAATGACTTTGGGCAGCCTGGTGAAGACTCGCCTCATGATTTTACCCTCTGCAGCCAGAGGAGCAACAGGAGAGGAGGAAGAGAGCACACCAGGCACCAGGTACAGTGAACTGTGGTGTCCAGTACGTTACAGTGTACCGTGCATTGTGGTGTCAAGTGTATTACAGTGTACAGTGCATTTTAAATATTTTATTATTTTTTCCTGTGTTTTGCACTACAAATAAGATATGTGTGGTGTGCATAGGAATTTGTTCATATTTTTTTAAAACTATAGTCCAGCCCCCCCCAACAGTGAGAAGGTCAGTGAACTGGCCCCCTGTTTAAAAAAGTTTGAGGACCCCTGATTTACAATATAGTACTGTGATCAACCATGTGGGATTCTCTTCTAGATATACCTGTGGAATTTCCATAGATGGTACATGTAGACATTTTCTTTAGTAAATACTATAAAATATGGAATATTATATTTTAAAAATGATTATACATCCGGGGTCACAGTACTCACATCAGTTTTCCATTTGTCCAGCACATCACGGTAGACATCATACAAGGCATCTATCTCACGAACAGCATCCTTAGGTGCAGAATGTAGAGGAACCAGCACACAAAATCTTGAATCGCTGGGAAAAAAAAACATAATATAACACATATGGCCTTGTATTGGTATTCATTTATGGCTTCTGGCTTTTTTAAAGAGTCCACTTAAAATGATATTTAGGTTTTTAGATGCCACAGAGATAGTCCACAAAACAGTTTCTTATACCGGTCCAAAAGTTTGAGTGCCCAATGCTTCGTTTTAGCCCTGAAAATTAAACCATATCTCTAAGTATCCCAACCACAGCACCACCTGCCTGGAGTTTGCATGTTCTCCCTGTGCCTGCGTGGGTTTCCTCCGGGTACTCCGGTTTCCTGCCACACTCCAAAGAGATGCTGGTTGGTGAATTGGCTCTAAATTGTCCTTATTATGTGTATGTATGGATGTGAGTTAGGGACCTTAGATTGTACGCCCCTTGAGGGTTAGGGACTGATGTGAATGTACAATACATATGTAAAGCGCTGCGAAAATTGACGGAGCTATATAAGTACCTGAAATAAATAAATAAATAAGTAAAATGTTTCTTCTTTAATTTTTTTTTTAATTAGGATTTAGATTAGAACAACTGTCAACTTTTACATCTTCCTGTATCCTCCAAATTTTCCCTCGTGTGTCACCAGGACAGAACTTCCTGAATCTCCTAGAGCAGTGGTTCTCAACCTTCTTAATGCCGCGACCCTTTAATACAGTTCCTCATGTTGTGGTGACCCCCAACCATAAAATTATTTACCCAGTAATTATAATTCATGAGTGTCGTTTTACCTCCAATACTGCTGCTTTCAACACAGTAGCTGCTTTAACAGAGTAGCTGCTTTCAACACAGTAGCTGCTCTTTACACATTGGAAAATATGTGTTTTCCGATGGTCTTAGGTGACCCCTGTGCAAGGGTTGTTCGACCCCCAAAAGGGTCGCGACCCACAGGTTGAGAACCACTGTCCTAGAGAAACAAGGCAGATGTTCATTACACTCACTGTTTAGTATGGTAGGGGAAGGCTAGTACCCAATTTGTTGTTGTCTGTATCCCCATTGTAGATTTTCCTTCATTTCCTGCTTAGGTGCCTGTGCAGGGCAAAGCAATCGGCCCCCCTTTAATGGCATTGGTGATGGTACAATCGCCAAGCACAATTGCTGTCATGCAGGAGTAACTTAATCCCCCACACCCATAAACAATGGTGAGGGATGTGAGAGATGTAGACTGTGCTCCTGGTGGGGCCACTATTAAAGTCAACCTCTTGTGTTGCTCTGATGGGCAAATCACTGCTACCAAGCAGAATCTAGAGACAGTTATTCTTGACTTATGAGATTAGGTCACAAGGTTACAATTTATGACAGGCTTGCTTTAAATTCACAATTATGCACACCTACCATGGCCTTTCCATGTAGATTCCACTCTACCGCAGGGGTGGACTGACCATTTGGAAACTCGGGCACTGCCCGAGGGCCCGGGGTCTTTAGGGGGCCCCATGTGATGCCCCTGGTACCTTTTTCATAGGCTTTTTTGAGTTTGGGAAAGGACACAGGGGCCCCATGATCCCCTATTGCCGGGGGCCCCATGAGTTGTCAGTCCGCCCCTGCTCTACCTGTTAGATTTCTAATTAATTTTATATCATGGAGAACACAAAAGGAGTCATTGCAACACACCAAGGTTGTCCAGAAACACAGAATGCAGGGTACAAGTAGGGCCAGAATTAGCTGTCTTAGCTGAGAAAACTCATCATTGAGGGTCCCCAATATATTTGAAAGAACCCACTTGGTTACTGACTCCATCTATAACTAACATTTCCAGGTGGCCTGGCTATTATGTAAGGAAACTTCAATCACAGTATGATTATGCAAAACGTGAAGAAACCCAAAGAAAACACCTGAATTTAGCATTTTCTTTGTCTTTTGTCTTTTTTTTTCTTCCTCCCTTTCTGTTCTGTGCTCTGCCTGTTTTCATGATATTTGAGCTGATTGCAGGGACGGACTGACCATTTGGAAACTCGGGCACTGCCCGAGGGTCCGGGGTCAGTAGGGGGCCCCATGAGATGCCCCTGGTACTTTTTTCATAGGCTTTTATGAGTTTGAGCAAGGACACAGGGGCCCCATAATCCCCTATTGCCCGGGGGCCCCATGAGTTGTCAGTCTGCCCCTGCTGATTGATTGTAACCGTACCAGCAATACCATACCAGCAATACTATATCTACCTGTTGGACTTCCTCAGGAGTCCTGGGTGTGGAGTACCAATGTGCATCCAGTGAGGCTCCGGGTTTTATTTTTCCTGCCTTCTGTATGCAGATTTTGTGATAATCTTTGATCTTTGTTTACTAATTCATTGGTCACTAATTTTCTGCCATTTTTGCAAATTATTATTATGTTTTATTTTCTCTCTTCAGAGCCAGGGGCAGACTGACAACTCATGGGGCCCCCGGGCAATAGGGGATTATGGGGCCCCTGTGTCCTTGCTCAAACTCAAAAAAGCCCATGAAAAAGGTACCAGGGGCATCTCATGGGGCCCCCTACTGACCCCGGGGCCCTCGAGCAGTGCCCGAGTTTCTAAATGGTTAGTCCGCCCCGCAATCAGCTCAAATATCATGAAAACAGGCAGAGCAGAGAAGAGAAAGGGAGGAAGAAAGAAAAGACAAAAGACAAAGAAAAGGCTAAATTCAGGTGTTTTCTATGGGTTATTGTATTATTCATCAGAAAACCTGTACGCTTTATTTTTGTTGGTCAGTGATCTTATTTATGACTGTTTCTCTGATGTGGTCTATTCTATAATAAAATCCATTGTAAAAGAAAAAAAAAAAAAAAAAAAACACCTGAATTTTACTTTTTCTTATAATCCTAGGCTAGTGAGATTCATGAAAAATAAGTGCTGAGTGATCACTATGGACTACAGCACTTCATACAATGTTCCTGTCCTGACTAGATGGGCCGCCTTCTTTGTATCATACAGTTTATTGGGTAATGGATTGAAGAACATTGCTCTGACCTGTCTCGGGGCAGTTGAATTGGACCACAAATGGTTCCCTGCTGAATGTATCTTCTCCAGTGTACAAGTTATGATCGTGGTAATGGTAGGAGTCCTGTGCTGTGACCTTGTCATTCCTAAAAGATGATGTAACATTTCAAAATTAAAGTGCAATTCCAGATACAACACATACAGTATAAAATCTATACGAGCTAATAAACATTACATTAACATTGCAGTTATTCATAAATGTCTGTAACACAAGGATAAAAAATTTTTTATTCCTTCAGCCATGACTGCAGTTTTCAACAAGTAGGTGTCATTTCCTAAAACCCTCCCCTACCTGTTTCAGTAAATAGCTCACTTTTCTCCTACTCCCCCGCACTGAGTAAAAAGGCTGCTTGATCCTGTCTTCTCTGATCCTCTCCTTCTACTCTCCCCAATCCATCTCCTGATAGAACAGAGCTTTGGGAGGGAAGCTGCACATGCTCAGCTTTTGTGTGTATTGCTAGATAGTTTTTTTGTTCTTGGGAGACTGCATGTGATCAGCACTGTCCAGACAGAGGGTCAGTGGTCCTGCAGTCTCATAGGACAGTGAGAGGAGAACGAATACTTTAACCACTGATCTGCTGGACATTGATAGATGTGACAAGACTGCTCTAACTGCTGATAAGAAAAGGTATTTAGTAGTTTATATTTACTAAAATAATTACATTTCCATGTTCTGTGTACTGTGAGAGACCAGATATAGTGAATGGCAGGGTCCTGAGTTTAGAAACACTTTAAGTATATTTGATAGGGCCCCACAGGGAAAATTTTAGGGACCCTCAATTTCTCCAATCTTCATCTGGAAGGCCATTCCTTTAAAGGCCATTCACACCTCTTGAGAAGAGGAGATTAACATGTATTATGATCAACATGTTTAAATACATCAGTGGTTCATATAATGAACTCGGTGTAGAGCTATTCACCCTGAGGTCATCACAGAGGACAAGTGAGCATTCTTTACGTCTGGAGGAAAAGAAATTTAATCTCCAAACACAGAAAGGTTTCTTCACAGTGAGAGCTGTGAAAATGTGTAATAGACTCTCTCAAGAGTTGGTTCTGGCCAGCTCAGTGGATTTCTTCAAAAAAGGCCTGGATTCTATCTTGGATACACAGAATATAACTGGATACTAACATTTATAGGTAAAGGTGATCCAGGGAATATCCGATTGCCTCTCGGGGGATCAGGAAGGAATTTTTCCCCTGCAGGAGCAGATTGGGTCATGCTTTGCTGGGTTTTTTTGCCTTCCTCTGGATCAACTGTGGGTGTAGGATTATAACTTGGCAGCACAGTGTCTAAAGGGTAGGTTAATTGGATCCTATCTAAATTGTCCTGGTATGTGTATGTATGAATGTAAGTTAGAAGTCTAAATTGTCCCTAGTATGAGTATGTATGAATGTGAGTTAGGGACTTTAGATTGTACACCCCCTGAGGGTTAGGAACTGATGTGAATGTACAATATATATGTAAAGCACTGCGTAAAATTGACGGCGGTATATAAATACCTGAAAAAAATAAATAACTTTTTTTTTTTTATGGTTGAACTGGATGGACTTTTGTCTTTTTTCAGCCAGACTAACTATGTAACCATAACAGAGTGTGTTGCAGCGCACACATTACCATGTGCTCAAGCGCATTGCGTTAGGTAACCTATTCATTCTGCGTGAGCTATCAATGCACTTTTGGGCCCCATAATAAACACATAGTCTGTGAGGTTTACAGTTCCGTCCTTGCTTCTGATCACTTCTTAAAGCAAACTCGTGCTTTGCCCATACAGGGTAAAGCAGCAAGATCACTCTAATGCAAATTTAACGGATCACTTTAATGCGATCCTCCCTAGCAAGACATTTTACTTTGTGTCCCCCACCACTCCTGGGAATGAGGAAAGAATCCCCTGTGTAAGCTCAAATTCACTATAGTTGGTCTTAGATATAGATGAAGGACCTCTCTCCATGTTAAAGCCCTAATCCTATCACCAGCACTGTCACATAGAAATAGGTAGGAACAGGGGCGGACTGACAACTCATGGGGCCCCCGGGCAATAGGAGATCATGCCCCTGTGTCCTTGCCCAAACTCAAAAAAGCCTATGAAAAAGGTACCAGGGGCATCTCATGGGGCCCCCTACTGACCCCGGGCCCTCGGGCAGTGCCCGAGTTTCCAAATAGTCAGTCCGCCCCTGGGTAGGAGGTAGTCACATGCTCCTCCATCCATATAGTAATAGGTGTACCAGCATCCGTATAGCATTTTAGCATAAACAGCCAAAATAACACATAGACCTGTTCACTGGTAGGCTGTGTTCTTCGTAAAATGCAAAAAAAAGACGATGCTTGATTGAAGCACATCTATGTTACATTGTGATACAGACAATCCTGAGCCTTCTTAAAAGGTAAATCTCACCTAAAAACAAACAGGTAGCGTTCCTTGTATACATCCCGTCCCAAAGAATCACTGACCACATAGGAATACTGATGAGGTTCTTCACATTTGCTGCAATTAAAGTAAATCATTTTAGCATAGCACATACACAATACTGTATAAAGTCTCTCAAACCACAAATATCTTATATTTAGAAAAAACCATTCAAATCTTTAAAGTTTAAACTTTTTTTTTTTTTTTAATAGTGTAGGCTTAGACCAGGGGTCTGCAACCTTTAAGACATAAAGAGCCACTTGGACCCGTTTCCGAGAGGGAAAAAAGACTGGGAGCCGCAAAACCATTGCAACATTTAAAACAAATCCGACACTGCATATATTGCAAAAAGTGCTCTGGTCATGAAGGGGGTTTAGGGGCCCAGTAAGCAAAGGGTTAATCAGGGCCACAGTGTTATCCTCATAATCCCAATCATAGCCTTAGGTCAGTGGTGGGCAACCTTTTTTTTTCAACTGAGCCAAATCTCGCCAAAACCACGATTGAAATTTATTTTGAGAGAAACATTTTTTAAAACTGAAAATAAAACCCCCATATAGTAATTCATCCCCCATAGTAATTCATCCCCCCTATAGTAATTCATCCCCCCTATAGTAATTCATCCCCCATATAGTAATTCATCCCCCATAGTAATTCATCCCCCCTATAGTAATTCATCCCCCCTATAGTAATTCATCCCCCTATAGTAATTCATCCCCCATAGTAATTCATCCCCCATATAGTAATTCATCCCCCCTATAGTAATTCATCCCCCATAGTAATTCATCCCCCATAGTAATTCATCCCCCCTATAGTACTTCATCCCCCCTATAGTAATTCACCCCCCATAGTAATTCATCCCCCATAGTAATTCATCCCCCATATAGTAATTCATCCCCCCTATAGTAATTCATCCCCCCATAGTAATTCATCCCCCATATAGTAATTCATCCCCCCTATAGTAAATTCATTCCCCATAGTAATTCATCCCCCATATAGTAATTCACCCCCCATAGTAATTCATCCCCCCATAGTAATTCATCCCCCCTATAGTAATTCATCCCCCATATAGTAATTCATCCCCCCTATAGTAATTCATCCCCCCTATAGTAATTCATCCCCCATATAGTGTCAATTCACTTACCTTTGCTCCGCGCGTTCCTCTCGCTGTGTTCCCGCGCCGTTCTGGTCTTTAGGGCGGACTGTGAGAGGAGAGGAGTTCGTCATGCTGCCCCGCCTACATTCTGGCTGCCCCGCCTACATCCTGACAGCCAATGTTTTCCAGCGGGCGCCCGGCACACAGAAGAGCTGCATTAAAAGAGCTGCGGCTTGCCGACCCTATTGCCTGTCACCTGGTGGGCAGTGTGCTCCGGAGCCGCAGGAAAGGTGAAAAAGAGCCGCATGCGGCTCCGGAGCCGCGGGTTGCCGACACCCGGCTTAGACCTTCAGCTGTTTCTGTGTCCATTGGAAATATTTTCCCTCACTTCCTTTGTGGTCACAAAGACAGGATATACACACAATTTCTCCAAGGAGGGCACAGATGATAGTGATAACACATTTTGGAGTGGGGAAGAGTAAAAACATTGCTTTCTTTGTCTTTGTTGGGGAGATTCACTTTCTGTGTGGTCACCAGAAGAGGAATGAGGGGAAATCTCTCCAACAAAGATACAACAATCAGAAATTATCTTACTTCAGCATTTTGCATATTTTTTTCCTTACTACATTTATATTTTTTTACACAGTGTCTATTGTAAACACAAATGCATGCTTTTTACTCTTCTTTGTGGTTAATAATGACAAAATGTGTGCGATTTTTGCATTTATGAACCTTAGCTGGATTTATAAATGCACCCCTAGAGAAAAGTAAAATTGTCACAAAACCCTGCATTTCAAACTAAACATATAATGAAAGTGGGAACTGAGGTCAACTGATAACTGCCTGCAGTGTCCTGCACAGAAAGAGGGGGGAGCCACACAATGACACTCCAATCAATATCCCAAAACCAATAATGGGCTTGTTTAAAGAACAGAATTGATACCCACAATCTGCTTTGTACTACAGAAAAGCACTGTTTACTCTGCACCTTGGCACAAACATGCCATTCATAAAATGCTTGAGTCCTCTGTGGGACACCTCAAGCATTTTATGAATGCTTGAGGTGTCCCACAGAGTCCTCTGTGCTTAACACAACAAAGAATCCAGTTAGCGATTGATCACATGATATGGACTGCATAATGTGTTAGGAACGTAAGGATGCCCCATCGTTTGATGGAAATGAAAAAGATCAACCTACAGAGGACTGAATTCAAAGACACCTCGAAAATCAAAGTGAAAAAATGATGCATAAGGCTAGTCCATTGTGCTGAAATTTAATTGCAGCCACTCAGAATGGTCCTCAGTAGTGTGTATGGCCCCCATGTGCTTGTATGCATGCCTGACAACGTCGGGGGAGGCTCCTAATGAGACGACGGATGGTGTCCTGGAGTATTTTCTCCTAGATCTGGTCCAGGGCATCACTGAGCTCCAGGACAGTCTCAGGTGCAACCTGGTGGCGTCGGATGGACTAAAACATGATATCCCAGAGGTGTTCTATTGGATTTAGTTCAGGTGAGCGTGGGGGCCATTCAATGGTATCAATTCTTTCATCCTCCAGGAACTACCTGCATACTCTCACTACATGA